AATAACACTTACAGAATATCTCAATCAGAAGCAACAATTTCTCTTCTTCGAACATAGCTTAAACAATCACTATATAATCCCAAAAACCACTTCCACGTTCAAAAGTTAAAAGCAGAAAGCAGTTTCTTGGTTGCTCTAGTACAATTATGTTATATATATAAAAGTAAATGACACAGGACAGGATAATCTGTCAGAGCCTTGAAGTCCCCCTTATTTCAATCAAAGAGTTGCAACAATAAATGGATTGCACATTCAAAAGAACACAATGTCTTATTTGATGATGGTATGTTGGCATCCAAGTTAGAAGAATAAATGTCTCCCAATTGTGACAGAAGTGAGACACACAACCAGGGCCCAGACAGGTGGTTTTGACAGGATCAAACTCCAGGGGATTGTTTTAACAGGTTCCTTGGAAACACATTTGTAACAATAAGCTTCTTCTCTTGAGGCCTCAGTTCAGGATCTTCCAAAGGTGTACTATGTGCCTAAACAAAGAAGAGAAAATATAATAACAGAATAAACACTTGTGTCAGAAGGTCTCAGTATAGTAAAAAACAACTGAAGTAGGCTACAACTACAGCATTTGCCTTCAATCAAACATATTATGTGCACAATGTGAACTTCTATTACAATTTCAGCAAAGTCAAAATTCTGCAAAAGTAACATACTAACATGTATATTAAAGATTAGCATGGTTGAATAATGGTTACCTTGTCCAGCTATACAGTAAACCAGACTGTTCCTAGAGAACCAAAGGAGAAAAAGACTGAGAGCCATCCAAACTTCTGTATTAAGAAAGGTGAAAAGGCCAGACCAGTAACTGAGCCAAGATACATCCCACTGTATACTAGAGCTAGTGATCTGCTTCCCTCGGCTACAGGAACCCATTTCGACAGAATATTAATCATGGCAACAACCTGAAACAAAAACAAACCTTCAATTACATACCATGGGGATGATGTCAATACAAAGTTCGAAAAAACTAAATAATAGTTACCATCCTCTCTTGAAAACAGGTTCTACAATGGAATTTTTGAGATAAACATAATCACAGAGAACTGAAGATATGGTTGCCAGAAAATCAAAGTACCAACCTCACCAATTCCCATGAAAGCACGAACAAGTAGGAATGGCAACCCAATTTTGGCAGCAACAGGAGTAAGAACAGTAGCAATAGACCACCAAACTACGCCAAATGCCAGGACTGACTTCCCACCCACTGTGTCAGCCTATATGCCACCAGCAATCTGTCACTGACGACCACAATCAGAGTAAGACCCAAAAAAGTCTACTCATTCAGATAAGAACTGGAAGTGATCTTAGAAGAAAACATTGAATTACCTGAGTAAGAAGGTAACCCCAGAAGAAAGATGACTGTATCAAGCCAACAGTAGTTGCACTCCAACTGAACTCTGCCGACATGGGCAGTATGGCAATGCTCATATTTACCTGGAAAACAAAATCCATTCAAGTTTGATAAAGAAGAATTAACAAATTCCTTCATGGGAAACTAAATTAAGAAGAAAAATGTAGCAGAAGCTTACTCTATCCATATTACACAGCAAAAATGCCACGACGGGAACTGCTCCCACGACTCCTCCGCGCTCAAAACCATATCTTCTAACCCATCTTTAAACTTCACCAATTCCGGTATCGACTCCGGTGTTTCTCTAAGATCTGCGTATATTTTCCCGCTCCTTCTCCTGCCCGAATTCCATACCGAAACTCGGAAAACATGGAACCGATGTGGACCCGACCCGGATTGGGTCCGAACAGGGGATTGGAAATTAAACTTTGGAGGGTTCGATCGCCCTTTTGGACTAATTCCTCAATGAAAAGGTTGTCGTTTCTAAGCT